GGAAAGCTTCGAGCAGAATCTGGAAATAACCTGAATGGAGTTATTACAAGAACAATTAAAAAATTACTTTAAAATGTATGTACTTTTTATTGCACATTCTTTTGAATTTTGACAGATGCATGCCCATAGAACCATCCTACAAGCAAGACACAAAGCCATTTCATCACCCCCAAAGTATTCTTTTGTTCTGCCTCTTTGTAGTCAAATCCATCCTCATTCCTAAACACGGGCAGCCATTTATCTGTTCTCTAGGTGTATGGCTTAACCTATTCCAGAATACCATGTAAATACATTTACACCGCATGCAATCTTTGAATCATGTTTCTTTCACTTAGCATGTCATGTTTAAGATCCATCCCTGGATAGCAGTTGAATATTAGGGGACTACATGGCAAAGGTCATCTCAAACAATGTCACAGAGCAGACTAAAAAATATAGAACTGACAGGCCAAGACAGTAAAACAGGCAGGAGAGTAAGATTAGTTTTGTGGAAAATGCAACTTCTTGCAATAATAGCAGTAATAAATTCTAAATCGGCTTTTGTGGTATTAGTCAGGAGGAATACCAGGTATGTTCAAGTGTGAGGATTAGTGGTTTCATTAAGAGCCTCCTTTCCTCCCTAGGATTAGCCCTTGCCCATATATTTGATAAAATCTTTCAGCTGAGTGCAGTTTCTGTTTACATGCTAGGATGTCCTGGTTTAAATTTTCTCTTTCTAAGGGATCCTCAGAAGTCATCTCCAGGAGTCCACACTATAGTGATGGAAGAAAGTAGCTCTAAGTGGTCAAGTGTGTTAGGGCATCAGAATTGGAGCTGGAAACCAGATTTCGGCTCTTAGACCATGCATTTTGTTTTTGACTGAACTAAGTCAGGTAAGATCTTGGATGCAGTCTTCTGGAATAATTGGGCTGGAACAGAGAGCTGCAGAGCCAGGGAATGAATTCCAGGTAATTTATAAAGGGCACTTTCACCTAAAAACGTTTCAGCTCCAGGATTGGTGGCTATGAAAACAGTGGAAACCAAAATGACCCACAAGTTGTGAAGTGCCAACATTGGTCTCTCCTATTCTGAGGGTCCTGGGAAGTGGGCAGCTCCTGGTCAACTCTGGAACTGTACTCCTAACCCGCACTTTCTTTCAAAAGTGCCACATGGTATTATACAACATGGGTTGAATCAGGGAAGAACAACTATGAGTTCTGAAGGAAGGGATTTCTTGTAGGACTAAGATCTTGCACAGATGTGGGAAGAGCTAAAGGAGGGAAATCTTGAGCAGGAGGACCAGAGCTCCTAAGCTGTCAATCTGAGAAGTCAAGGGGTCTTTTGGTCAACTCAAAAGCACACCTGTAGCATGAAGAGGTTTCTGTGGCTTAAGCAACACGATATCGCATAGATGACTATAGGCAGAGTCTGAGACAGAAATAATTTTCACACCTTGGAAGTGTTGCTTCCAAAACTCTTCTCATTTGCTCAACTTGCACAATCTGGAACCAGCTAGTTTTACCACAATCTGAAAGTGTGTGGCAGCTTTAGCAAGAGAGAGCCCTAAGTGTGGTGTTCTGAAATACATGTAGGCTGTGTCAACCCAACTCACAGGCTAGTGTGGACTCTCTTGTAGCCTTTCAGAAAATGTAATTACTTCCTTGACTTGGAGCACACTGATCGTAAATTCCCTACACCTCTATTTTTCTACAAAATGTTGACAATCTTGACAAGTCCCCTTTTTGTTACTGAGCCAATTGAGCAAGGAATTGACCTAAATGCACTCAAAGAGGGTAATGAGGTATAAAACCACTTCTTTAAAAGTTGATTAAGAGGCTGATACTTCCCCCTACAAAAATGACTCTTTTCCATCCAGCTTATCTCTTATTTTAAAACAGGCCCTTCAAATTTTAAACTACCAGTCAGCGGTGATTGCTGTAAAGAATCTGCAGTCAACCCACACTTTTCTATATAATTAATAGAATTCTCAGACAGCTTATCTACTTAAGTTGTGAAAATCTCTTTATCCTTTATCTACAGGAACACTAATCACTTGAAAAGGACAAGTCTGAGAGAACATGTTGTAAATCTGGGTTTAAAAAAATGTGTTTTTTTGGCATCAAATTCTATTGTTTTTATTTCTTGGGTTCCTTGTATCTCTTATTTCAGTTTTTTTTAAAGATTTATTTATTTATGCATACAAGAACTAGGGTGCAGGCCAGAGTTACGGGGGGTTGTGAGGATTCACCAGAGACAAAGTGGGGTACAGAACAGGTGGATCGACTGAAATATACTGCTGAGGGGAGTAGAGGGCAGGGTAGGAGAGGTCTGAAGCGTCAGCTTCCCTGGCCAGGGATTGAACTCATGCTGCAGTGGCTGTGGGTAGCTTCATAGTGCTTTAACCCCTTGGGCCACCAGGGAGGGCCCATTATTTATTTTAAATTGGGCTTTACATTCAATTCAATGTAGGTGAGGACCTTGCGTTTTCCGGCAAGATGAGCATTGCTTGCAGCTTTCTTATTCATGCTGGATTTCACCAAGTCTGGGATCAGAGAATTAACTGGTCTGGGAATTGGGAAGCCTTGACGCTTGGCTTTCCAACAATTAACAATACTGTTTCCCAGCTGCAGAAATCATTAGCAACTTTAAGCAAAGGAAATATATCAACAGGACAGCAAAGACCCTAGAAACTGTGAACACCTGCACATCAGGCTTGAGCACAGGCAGGTACCCTGGTCTTTCCAATGGCTGGGATGAAGGGACCCCAGGAAGTCTTGCAGTGTGAACAGTATGATAAGACCATTGCTGCTAGAATGATATGGAACATTAGATTCCAGAAAAATTGGTTGGCCTGGATGACAAGTCCACTCTTGCTAGATGTGGTGGGTGGAGCCATCAGTGTGACCCAGTGGATTCAGTAATTTCTTAAAAGGAAAGCAGGAGGTAGTTTGGGGAAAGAAACTGCACGCTGGCCAGATAATGACCACTGTGATATGACCTAGCATCTTTAAAAGTTGCTTCCATATTAACAAATGGACAGTGTGGTGCCTATGGAAGCCTTTAATATTAGCACATCCCTGTGCTGTCTGCTTCTGTGAAGACCTATAAGATCAATGACATAAGACAAAAAGGATATATTTATGAACACTCGTGGGTTATTACTATTTCAAGAGTGATAACCATCTGTCTAATGGTGGCTGTATTTGTTATGGATTGTGGCATCATACTATCATCACAAACTTAGCATATTCAGACAACCTGTTATCTCAGTATCTGTGGGTTGGTAATCCAAGAATGGCTTACTTGGGTCCTCTCTTTAGAGCATGAGATGCAACTGAGGGTATCTGTTAGGGCTGCAATCTCATCTGAGATTCAACTGGGGAAGACATCTACTTGCAAGTATGCTCAGGTTGTTGGGAGAATTTGGTTCCTGTGGCTATAGGTAGGATTGACTTGTTTCTTGCTTTTGGCTGCAGGCTGCCCACTGTTCCTTGCTGCAGTGAGTTTGCCAATATGGTCTCTCCGATTCCTCAAAATCAGCAAGGAGCCTCCACTTGACAGGTACAAAATCATGTACACATAATCACATACACTTCACCACCTGCTGGTGAGGAAGTCACAGGCCCCAACCACCCATAAGGGGTGGGATCACCCAAGGGTGTGACCACCAGGAGGTACTCACATGGGGAAACCTTATGAAATTGTGTAACTGAGTGGGTCAATCCTGGAGCTCTCTTGAAGTCTTAACAATTTTCTCCTTGTGCATCTTTCCAAACCTCAGTCCTAGATTTCACCTGGAGACCTGAAGAGGATGGGCAGAATACAACCTGGGCCTCCAGTCTCTCCTGATCATCAGCCACAGGGAGGGGAAAGGAGGTAAGGAGGTCACCTCCTCAGAAGCCCAGTGACTGTGGGGCTTGGTGTTCTCTCACTCTTCTGTGAGCAAGTAGATCTAGTAGACTCCCCTGAACAGTATCATTGTTTTCACCTACTGTTTTGCAACTGGCCTTTTCTGTGTTAAAGGGATGGAAATGCTTTTTTTCATTGATTCATATGTACATACTGTCTTCCTCATCTTCAGTATAATTCCCTTGAAGGCAGGAGTCATTTCTTCTGTCACGTACCTTTCATATGTTCAAGTAGGCTAAGAGCAAAGACAAGGTTTCCTTGGAGAAAACGGCTTTTCTTTTCAGTTCTCTAGTGGTGTGGAGGAAAAGGGGTCGTAGTGTGAAAATCTGCTCTTTGCTGCGTGGTTGTGCTAACAAAACATATTTGATGGGGCAACCTTGTGAATCCTCAGGTGTCCACGAGACAGTGTGCTTGGGTCCCACTAGGGCCATTAGGGACGCACCTGGAGTGAGGGGCAGTGGTCAGAAGCCGGCAGATGTGGGCTGCTACTTGCTTACCCTCAGGGTGACCCTGGACCTGTCACTTTAACTTCTGAGGCACAGTGACCTCAGGATGCGGTAGAAAACACCTGGGACTTGACTTGGTGCCAGTGGCCAAGCAACAGCCTGTCCAAAGCTATTTTCATGTTTGTGAAAGCAGAGTCATTTCAGGGCAAAGGGGGGACGAGTGTAGGAACATTGTATAAATTCTATCTAAGGGAGACTCAGGTGTCATCATCTTGTCAACACGGCCTCTGAGGTGAGGGAAGTTTTCATCTTCTCCCCGGAGTGCCTTAAGCTGGCCAAATGAAAATTTTAAGTACAATTTAGAAAAGTTTTAATTTGAACAACTTATGATTAAAAATACATTTTATAAATAATTTTTTTCCATAGACTTGATTAAGGATTGTTGCACTTTACAAAAGACAGATGCAGCAACAATGGATTAGGAAATTACAAAAAATATACTTATAACTCTCCTATTTAAAAATACAACACATTATATGTCACAGAGTTTTCTTTGTGCAAAGTTTAAGAGAATGCTGTCACATACTTAAAGGTATGTAAACTTTAATACAGTTACTTTGCATAATAATATAGGCACAGTTGAAATAAATTCTTCTTCCCTAGAAGTTAATACTTCTTAGTTCAAATCTCACTTTTATTTTGTAGGATCGAAGACTGAACTTAGCTTTATACAAATATGTATTTGTGGGTGTGTATATATATATGTATATACGTACATATTTACATATGTACGTAAGGAAACGAGTGTCTGTTTTGAAATGAAACAGTCTGAGTACATCTTCGGTGTCAAACAACTCCTCAGAAGAGTAAACAAAGCCAAGTCTGTCAACTAATGGACCTCCTCAGTCGACACTTCCAGTTTTCGCTGTGGGACAAAGAGAGTTCCTACGGGGGTCTTCTTAGCACCATCGAAATCCATGCAAGGTGAGCCGATTGGCTTTGGTGGTCCACCTGGGGTACGGAAGAAGCTTTCGGCCACTAACTGTGACCCTTTAGGTGTAACAGGAACAGGCTGATGGGAAAGAGGAACAGAAAACAAAAGTTAAACCCACACATAGAGGTAAGCTTAGCAGCCCGGAAGATTGGATTGGAAGCTTGTGCCACATGGAGGAAGGAGACCCAAAATTGATTAGGGTGGCCCTGATGTGCTTTACATTCTCAGTTATCTTTGGTAAGGTGAGGGAAAATACTCATGGTAACCCAAGCCCAATCAGGTGAATTCCTTGGGCACCCCTCTGGGTTTGGAAGGAAGATGGGCCTTTAGTCCCGTTGGAAGGATGAACAGGCCTGTCACCTCCTGTGATACTGATACCTGTGATACTGATACTGATACATCCACAGAAGGAAATCAATTAAGTGGGAATGGTCTCACCTGTTGTGCTCCCGAAGCAGCTACAGCTTGTCCATTCGGTTGGTTCTGGCCTAGGACTGGTGAGTCGTACCTGGTGGCCCTGCCTTGCCGCGGGCCTGTGTTTTCTGGTGTGACACTAAGACCCTCTATTCTTGGAGACATGGGGACAGTTCCAGGCCCGGGACTGGTGGACATCTGAACACTAGGGGAGATGAGTCCCAAGTGCTGTAGAGTGAAGTTTACAATGGCTGAGCTTGGGTTCTGGATGGGAATGGGCTGGTTCGAAGCCAGAGCCGGGCTGCTGCCGACAGGAACAGCTGCCATGGAAGTTGGTGAGACCATGAGCTTCAAAGGTGTTACATGAAAAGAGGGAAAATTCACAGCAGTGAGGTCAGATGATGTTACTGGAATAACACCTGGGAAGAAAAGAGGGGGAAGATATTTTAAAAGCACAGGCATTTGTCCTAGAGGCTTACAAAAGCTTAAGGGAACTTGAGACTGACACACATTTGAATAAGGCTTTACAGACACTCACCTGTGATTGGGGCGCTGTAGAGCCTGTGGTTTGGGGAAAGTGTACCTGAGTTCTCTTTACTAGATAAAATGGACTCTGCCCCCAGGGATGAGCACTGGGTGAGAGGGATTAGGTATCCTGATGGCAACAAGGTCTAGAAAACAAAGAGGAAGGGTTTATTTTACACACAAACACAGGAAGAAAAACGACTGTGGGCCCTGTCAAGGACTAATATCCCATGGTGCTTGTCTGTCTCATCAAACCAAAGCCTCCAGCGGTGTGGGCTGTGGGTGGCTAACTCTACAGTTCCTTGAAGACAGTATCTCTCCCTCCCTTCCATTCTAACACTTGTCCCGAATAACACAGACCATGTGCTTCTTCAATACCATCTGTGGTCTTCTGAAGCATCTTAGAGATAGCACAGGGCCTGCTGAGAGGCAGGGTTACCTTCACCCACATCTCAAGTCCTGCCCTCAGATTTCTATGAGAAGAGTTTAATGCACTGGGAGCAGGGAGACAACCACTGGGCTGGCTGTTAGTGCATTCTTTCCGATATACGTAAAATGGTACCTTCCAGAGTAACTGAGGCCCTAATCCCACGAGATTTCAACCCTACAGTCGTGGTCAAGTATGTTTGGAAAATGCTAACCCAGCAAGGGAAAGTGAATTTGAGACTTTCATCACGGCAAGCATCACAGATCTCCAAGTACCCAACAGCACCCAACGTACTATTTTCCAGATTATCGACGGCTAACTTTTTAGTGGCACCACTCTTCCAGGAGGACAGTGGGAGAAAAGTTAATTTAGAGAAAGGGGGTTGCCACACTGTAGCTCGAAATGCAGCCTTTTGGCTGTGTTTTTTCTCCAAGAAAGTTGTCACTGAACACAGCCCTGTCCACTCATTTAGTCCTGTCTGCGGCTACTTCCCTGTCATGTCACAACAGTGGAGTTGATAGTTGCAACAGAGACCATATGGCCTGCTCGGTCAGAGCTATATACTGTCTAGTCCATTCCAGAAAACGTCTGCTGACCCCTATTTGGAAGAAAGGCATTACACAATTACATATTTATTCCCCTAGTACTTTTGGTTTGGTTGATACTAAGCAAACACTTTTATAATACCTAAGCCAAAGGGCTGGGGACAAAGACAAAGAAGAGAACTCATCTGTTCTTATGCCATGGAGCAAAAAGCTTTCCCCTTTCCCAAGTGGGAAAGACCTGAGTGTGAGGCCATACACAGCACTGCCATGCCTGCACACACTGGACTTTCCCAAAGAAGCTTCCATGGGCGGCTAAACTGAAAAGTCTGCTTTAGCCTTACGATGAGCAGCACTGGCCAAAGCTAAAGCAACTCTTGTAAACTAGGGCCCCTCCTTTCATCTTCTTGCAGAACTTTCTTTCCTCCACTGTCAAAACATAGCCTACACTTTGATCTGGGAGATCCAATCTTTTCCCGGGAGCCAGTGAAATCAAGGTCTTCAGTGCTAAAAATGTACCACCAGCTTGGAATTTTGGTTTGGAGAGGTTTGGTGCTGTATCTTTACAAGCAGCTTCCTTAGATTTGCAGACATACAGAATTTTTAAAGGGCAGATTTAGGCATTTTTATAACTAGCTGTTTTTCGTTATCTTTAAACATTTTCTCTTATTGGTAGAAGTTATTCTGGCTCAACTCTTCCAAATCTTCTGGGAACCTACAATATCCAAATTATATTTTTTCAATTTTCTACAAACCATATTCATCACAAAATCTTTTGACCTACAATAGAAATTCATCAAGGAAAGCTTAGAGCTAGCTTAGAGAATGAAAAAACCACACAAATTCTTTTATACCTTTTCCTGTTACAGCATTCTATATTATTTTCACAACAGTTGTTACCATCCACTCCTTCCTATATTTACTTGTATACTATCTTCTATTTACCCCCAGAAGTGTAGTTCTCAGCAAATGTTTCAGTGAGTCAACACATGAATCTTTCATTGTCTTTGTTCTGCTGGGTCTATGCTAAAAAGAAGTGGTCAAAATGAAGTCATAGAGATGAAAAGAGAAGCAGAGAATGTGGAAAAGCTATCCACTGAAAACCCGAATCCTGAATAACTAAGTGAGCAACAGGAGACCATTATTAAATCACATCCAGTGGCCCTAACAGATTATGGACCTCCTAGAAAACTGAATCAAGGCAAAGCTTGTGATTTTCTCCCTAGCTTGTATATTAAATGCAAAATGATACTACACTAAGATAATATATGTTTCAGAGTTATCACAAGGCCATCCTCAAGGAAGCGAGGATACTCTAAAGCTGCTTTAATCATAAGCCCCTCAAAAAGATGACAAGCTGCTTTGAATGTAATCGTGGAATAAATTCATTCACCCTCACACAAACAGCAGTACGGCCCTGGGGTAAGTTCTCAAGAACCAAGGGCAAGTGCTGGGTGTGACTTGAACCTGAGCACTGTGCTTTACACGCTGCAGATGATCAGGAAAAACTGGTGGAACAAAGTCTTTGGAGATGTAGAAAATAAAACGTGGCAAGGTAAATAGCTTAAGTTAACAGCAGGGACAAAAGGAGAGATTAATTTCAACTTCCAGGTTTAGTGGTATTAATTAGTGATACTGTTTTTTGTAAGTAATTGTCTTTTGGGAGGAAACTGAGAGAAAGTATATAAAATTGCTTGATACTTCTGATGTCTGGTATTGGGGTAGGCATTCTAGAAATGTCCATTCCTTCCTGAACCAAACTCCTCCTAAGAAGAAATTCCATAATCAGTGTGTCAAATATACTTACAAATTGCCAATATTTGATTTTCTATTTCTACACAATGGAGATTTGGGTTTAGATTTTAGGTAGAAAATAGTAACTAGGGCAACAATTTATCCTTCTAAGTGAGAGACGCCAGTTACATGATATCAAACATTAGGTAATGACTCAGAAAGCCAGACTTGTAAGAACCCTTCGTATCTGTCCATTCATTCAGGGTTACGTCTGCTTGTAAATTATTTAAGAATCTCATGACAGGTGTTTGCAGTACATGATGAAGAAATAGACTTAGGGACAACCTCCTACAGTGCTTTTAAAAAGAGCAAATAATCCCTTTCTCCAAAGGTTAAAAATGTCCCTGCCGTCATCCCACTCAGGAGATCAACTGTCTAGGGCCTTGTTTGGACTGTGGGATATAAGAAACAGTTCTTGTCTTCTGAGAGACTGCTCTTTGCTTTGGTAAATTTCAAAAGCCTCCAAATTCTGCTTTAATCGATTGGGGGATTCCTAAAGCTTTGTCACAGTTCAGGGTTCTACTTACCGTGGAGACATTTTCAAGTCCTTTTAGATCCTCTTTAAATTTCTTTTTCAAACTACTGTCCTGAAGCATGCTTGCCCTCTTTAAGCCTCTTTCTCCAGCTGGCTCCCTGTCTTGGTTCTTCGCACTTGGTCTCTCAGGTCCCGGCAGCACACCTCCAGGCCTGGTGGGGACACTGGCCTTTGGGGCATCACTGGTACCCTTCTCACTGGGGGCATCTGCCGAGTCTTGTGATCTCACAGCTTTCGAAGGGGGTGTGAGGCAAACAGTTGGGCTCAGGCCGTGGGGTGGCGTGATGGTTTGGGCTTGGGCAGGCTGCAAGTAGATAGCGTAGGACGGGCCCGAAGGGGCCTGAGGTAGGATCACAGGCACTGCAGATGACAGTGGACTAGGGATCAGGGGGACCACCCCCAGGGGCTGGATGAGGGGCGGTGCCGTCAGCTCCAGCTCAGCATTCACTGGGGTGTCCAGAGGGGCCACGGGTTTGCAGTGCTCAGATCTTGCCAGCTGTCCTTTCACCTTCTTTCTGGGTTCACTAAAAGATAAGATTCAAATTTGACACGAAGGAAACACACTTTAGTCTACATGTTTTGTCACTTTAAGATCGAAGTCATGTTTTTATGAAACTAGCAGCGTTTCTGTAATGATTATGTATGAAGTCATGAAGAGATTATCTCACCAGTTTCTAAGGCCTGGTCTTTCCTTACATAAAAGAATCCTATTCGTTCTGTTGCTAAAGAGTGTTGCTAACCTACCTTGATTGCTCTTCTAGCTGCATTTTGCAAATAGCTGCAAGTTGATCCATTTTACTTGGAAAGGGTGTAGGATTCTGAGAACTCTCAGCTGAAAGATAGTAAGGGGTGGGGGAACACTTGGTCATAGCAAAAGAATACATGATCACAGATGAACACTGCTGAAGTCAAAGGAATAGAAAACAGGCACTGCCCGTCCCCCCTCTCCCTCCAGCAATTAAAGGATAAACCACATGAATTAATTTTTGTCCTTTAATTCATATAAGCTAGGTTTCAAGAGGGTTAGAGTATATAGACATTGAAATAATTCGCTAACAAGTACCGCTGGGATGAAGCAAGTAAAAAAATCGCCAGATGAAAAGGCAATTCTTCCAGCAGAGCCCTGCGATTATTGAAAACCTACCTTTGTTGGTTCTGATAGGGCTACTGGGAGCAGAATTTATCTTTCTCCGATCACTTTCTATGCTCTTCACCAGTTTGATAAGAGATGGGTGTCGGGTAAAGTTTGGTTTCCCACGTGTGGAAAAGAGGTTTTTGGCACAGTTCTCTTTTGAAGACCGCCTCCCTTCTAAATCAGAGGGGGCCAATGGGGTTACCGGGCTGAGAGCTGAAATAGAATAGGGCCGCGTGTTAGCACACAGGTTGGTCATCTTTATTTGGGGATTTTAAAGAGTCATTCTACAATGATTTTAGGAATTAAAGTAACAACACAGTTACAGAACATGACATATGGACCCTATTTTAAGGGCTTTACATTCAAAACCTTGTTTGTTTTACTAAATGAATACTGAGCTAATATTCCACAACTTAACAGCTAAGATATTTACTTCCTTTTGTACCAGTAGTGTTGAATAATGTAATGGTACTTGCTACTGGTTTTCCTTTCTTATTAATATCAAAACATTTGGGCATCTGACTCTGATGAAATATGGTAACCCTCACTACTATGATTGCATATTTGTGTATGCTCCAAATTCCTATGTTGAAACTTAATATGGCGGTGGGGAAGTGCCTGGATCCTAAGAGTAGAGCTTTCCTGAACAAGGATAGTGTTCTTACAAGAGACCCCTCAGAGCTGTCTAGATAGTGGATTCTCATCAGATTCTGAATCTGCTGGCACCTTGATCTTGAATTTCCCACCCTCCAGAACTATGAGATATATGCTTCTGGTGTCTGTCAGCAACTTCTATGGCATCCTGTTCTAGCAATCTGAAGACTAAGACACCCTCAACAACTCCATCAGGTAGAAACTTTTCATGGAAGGAGAACTTCCCCATGCAGCTACCAACTCATGGCTCTCCAACTAGAGGAAGGTGGGCCTGGGATGTGAACCTGGTCAGTCTGACCTCAGCGCCTGCACTCTAAATCCCCTCACCCAATGACCTCTCTCTGAGATTGCATCCATAAGCAGTCACTGTCCAAAGATACCATCATCCTCCCCATTTTGCAGGTGAAGAAACAGCCTTGGAGAAGTAACTTGTCTAAGGCTACACAGCTAGTAATAGTGGCTGATCTAACACTGTAACCTAAGTCTTCCTCTGCCTCTGGCCCACGTTCTTGCCACTTTCTAATACTTCTGTGGGTGGAGCTGCAAAGGAATGTAAAGTATGAAAACCCCAAGGCTGAGCTGAAGACTGGAAAATTGGTACTGGCGCGAATGCATTCCATATTCTTGATGTGCACAGGCTGCTAAAGTCACCTAGTGGCATAATGATAACATAGGCACTTTATGGTTTTCAACTTCTTAAAATCCTTTAAGTCCAGATTCTGTCTCTTAGCCACTGCTGAGAGGTGGTTACAGACCTTGGGTTACTGATGGAGCCAGTGGCCGCAACTTCCACATTGGCGCTCATTTCAAATTGTCTTTCTAGCCACTTAATATAAGTTCTTTCCACGTGAGGTGTGGGTAGGAAAGTGAGACTGTCTCCAAATATGCATAAATTCAAAATAATAGAGCAAAGGAGAGAAAACAAATACATACCACTGGAATTTGGACTGATTTCTGGGCCTGTCCATTTAAAGGCAGGTTTTCGCCCCCTTTCCTCCGTGACATGAACTTTCTTGATAAGATCCAGACTACTCAGAACATTAGCTATATCATACAACCGCCTAATTTTGGCTGGGGGAAAAAAAAAGTACATGTACCACTTAATGAAATAATGAAGGATCAAAGGACTCTGCTTCATAAGAATTTCATGTATATTCGAAGAGGATCCTAACCACCCATGTCAGCCAGGCTGCTTTAATTAACACAAAGAAATAGCCTGAAATATTGAAAAGACTCAGGCACTGTACATACTGAATTTTAAAACGACAAAGCACATGTTACAAAAAATTGAAAAATGACATGAGATCGCCCTACAGGGCAATATTACATATCTTTAATAAAAAGCCACCATTGCTGGACATGTTCTAATGAAGATTCAGAAGAATTTTATGAACAAATAGAAAGCATCCATGACAAATGCATTCCTTTCCTGTTGGTGACAGTTTATAAGATTCATTTAATATAAGCATGGAAAATCTATACCCCCACAGAATTTGTAAGTGTTTCTATTGTACTTGTATAACACACAAAGCATAGATTTGTTGACCCCACAGATCTTAACATACAGAAAATTCTGTTACAACAAGTCTGCCTTGACTTCCGGCTTGCCAGCTCAAAATTACAAATCAAGCTGTGATAGAAGGTTCTGAATTCCCTGTGAATCCAGCAAATTGCACATCTGCAGTTCCTGGGATCGTTTCCATGGCTGTGACTAACCAGTGAAATGGAGAGCTCAGTGCAGCCTGGAGGCTCAGAAGAGCAGGCGTCAGTGTGTTTTCTGAGACTGCAGAGCTCCCAAGCCAACTGGCAGCATTACTGCCTCTACTCTACTTAATTTTGTCTTTATAGAGATACTATCAACCGGGATGTTTGAATATCCTTCTACAGGACTAGCAAAACTTACAGGGACGGGAGACACCATGACAGCTACTGGCACCACTCAGCCTCTGCTATTGCCTCGGGCGGCTCCTCCTTACCAGACACCCTGGGCTCAGGTTAGCATCACATTCTATGTGGAGGTCTGTTAATACCCCCGGGGAGGTGGGCATGCAGCAGGTCACTGCCCATGTGCTGAATACTTCTTCCACACCCCTTGTCTACTCTTCGTAGAATACCCAAATTCTATTATGGAGGCCAGGTCCTTCCCCAACTTCAAGCAGATGTTCTGGCTAACCAGGTTCTTCCAAAATGGCTGCAGGACACTTCAGGAACAATTTTGAAAGAATTGTTCATATGCTCAAATGAGTCAGTGATAGGATTTTGAGAGCTGGAGCCAGTGCAACTTTGCAATTCATTGCTGGTGGGGGACACCAGGGATTCCAGGGGTGTATTGAGACAATGTTATGTATCAACTGAGGAAACTTTTAAGGAACTGTTCAGAAGCTAAAGTGTTATATGTATACATAATTCCTATATATCTGTGAAAATTAGCTAAAGCAGTATGAACAACGCTTTTGGGGTGAGGTGACACTACAAAGGCATAGAGAGCTCTTTAAATAGCAAAGGTAACTGGAAATCACTTCCTGCTATTTTAAGACTAGGCCAAAGTCCAATGAGACGTGACACTTACTTTTAAACTTGCTTTTATCCAAATCTTCCACATGGTCCTCCCCAATTAAAATCTTGGCAGCAATTTCTAGGCTTACTATTTGAGGCGTTGACACCAAAAACAGCATCACAAATTTCTGGCTCATCACTCTTAAGGACTTGTCTTTGCGGCTGTTTACAGAAGCTTTGGGGAAGGATGAGGATTAGAGAGTTAAAATTCATAAAGGGACAAGTGACTTAAGTAACTAGGCTAAAAATACCACCACCTGACGTGCAGTGGACAATGGCAGCATTTGAACGCGAAGGCGGCAGGGGGAGCTTTAGCACGGTGTTCTAAGAGGAAACTCTTCCCTTGCCCAACAGAAGCACAGGGCTGCCCCGCTTTTCAATCCCATCTCACCTGCCCGAAATTCCATTCCAGGGAGTTCAACAAAACACATGTCTGGGTGTCCATTCTGGCCGGTACTGGACTTGATGATGTGATCCTCTATAGCGTAACTCTTACTAAAGTCAAACTCTTGTTCATATTCTTTCTTTTTGATCATCATGATCTGCTCAGCGTACTTGTTCTCCTCCCCGACGCTTTTCAGAGTCCCCAGGGTTTTGTTGAGATTATGTCGCCCGTGCCAAGTGTACCTGTTTTTGGCAAGGCGGCTCACCATGTGCAAACTCTCTAGGACGTTGACAATGTCGTAAATGCGGCGACGCTCAACATCTGCAAGGAGTGAGCAAATGCAGGTCATTAGGGTCAGATTTTGGAAAGTGTATAAAATCGATTAGCTTTTTTCCCCATGGTGTATTAGTCAGCAGGTTTTGGATTCTTTGACTCGACTTATGCTCAGTTAAGAATGTGAAGATGAGCAAGACATGGGTAAAAACAATGTCACTACAAGTTCGGAAGGTAACATTTTATTGATTATGTGTCGCACAGGTTTAGGATATTCTCATACTAAACTTGTGATATTTAATATGAAACATCCTTACTTTTTTTAAAGATTTACTTATTTATGCATACAGAACTGGGGTACAAGCCAGAGTTGCAGGGATGGTGAGAGGCTTCACCAGAGACAGAGTGAGGAGCAGAACAGAAAGTTCCATGAAGTACACTGCTGAGGGGAGCAGCGGGCGGGTCAGGAGAGGTCTGCAGCACCATG